CCCGGGCCCCAGGAAAGGCCCCAGGCCCCCCCCCCCCCGACCCCGCCCTCACCCCTATGGTGGTGGCTTGGGGGGGGTATTGGTGATGGGGGTCCCCAGAGCCTCACCAGCTCCTGGGTCTCTGCCTGGAAGATGGAGCTGACACCGATGATGAAGGGTGTGGGTGTGCTGAGCACCTCCAGGAGCTGTGCAGGCAAGATGGGCACGTACGTGAAGCTGCAAGCAAAGGAGACGGTCACTGCAGCCCCTTGGTGTGGTGCTGGGACAGTGAATGTGCAGGACTGGGGCAGGCTGGCAGGAAACAGTGGACAGGCAGCTCAGCCACGAGGGCATGTTGACAGTGCCTGGGTTGGGAGAGGTGCAGCAGCTTGTGCACAGAGCTGGCAGGGACCCCAGTGTGCTGGACCAGTGTGCCTGTCTGAGCCAGGAAGTGCTGGAGGGAAGTAGCGCTTGGCCTTGGCCACAGCTCCTGCCCAGGCAGGGTGAACAGGGCACCAGCTGTCCCAAGGCCTTTCCCTGCTGCCCAAAGCCTTGTAGGATGCCCTTCTTCGGGAGGATCATGGGAGAAGCAGGAGAGAAAGCCCAGAGCCAGGGGCTGGCAGGGAGCTGTGGGGTCACATCCAGTCCAAGCCCTGCCTGAGACAGGATCGGCTCTGTCCCATCCCCAGCATGGGCTGCAGCACCCAACACCTTCAGGAGAGGCTTAAAACCCCCTGACACATGGAGCAGAAAAGGCGTGGGTGGGGGCAACCAGCACAGCCCAGAAGCCTGAGAGATCTCCACAGCAGAGCACGGGCATCGCTGCGCCCAGATCCTCCCTGCCCAGTGCCCATCCACCCTCTCCCTAACACCTCCAGTGATGGAGAGCCCCCCTCCCCTGGTTTCTCCCATGGCCTCCCTGCTCTGACAGCGAATACCCAACCTTAACCTCTATTGACTGCAACTTCCAGCCATTGCTCCGTGTCCTCCTCTCTGCAGCAAGAGAGAACAGGGGCTTTCCTTCCTCTTTATGGCATCCCTTCAGGTATTTGAAGACTACTCTCATGTCCCCTCTTCAGCATCTTTTCCACAACCTTGGTGGTTTCTGGGATTAGGTCCCCTTTCCCCTCATCCTGCTGGGTGCCAGGCCTGAGGCTGGCATGGGACTATGGCAGCTCATGGCTGGGGCCAGACAGGGAAGCCCCGGAGCTCAAAATGGTGCTTGGGGCCCGGCAGTGCTGGAGAGACCCTGACGTGCCTGACCTTCCGAGTGCTGCCGTCTGATGGCCTAGAGCTGCCCTTGCTCAGGACACACAGCACCCTGCGGACTGGCCACTGGCTACCTGAGCCACCCCCTTCCCATAGCACATGCTAGATCCCCAGTCTGTGGGCTTGAAGGGAGAGGCTGGCTGGGCTGCAGGGGAACGGGAGGCACCAGGCTCACCTGTACTTGAGGGGGAACATGAGGGCGAGCAGGGCACGGCAGGCGTCGGTGAGGCGCTGGTAGCTGCTGGAGAGGAACAGGATCTTGTGCTCGGTGAGCGCGGCGCAGAAGAGGTACAGCACATTGGTGATCCCTGGGGGGAGGGAGGGCAGAGCGGCAGCGCTCGCGGGGGGCTCCACATAGGCCTGGCCAGTTGGCTGGGGAGCTGCCATGCTCCTGCTCTCGCCCATGTCTCTGCCACAGCCCTGTGCCCTCTCCTAGGGCCAGAAAGGGGGCATGGGACCTTTCCTACTCCAATCTCTGCCCTATCCTCTGGCAGGAGCCTGGAAAACCCCTCTCTGGACTGGCCCGTGTCCCCGCTATCACCCAGTACCAGCTGCCAAGCCAAGAGCTGCCAGACAGGCCCCAGGAGCTCACCCGGGGCAGAGCTGCTGGCCCTTCTTGATGAGAAGAGGCAGGCACAGGGATAGGGGATGGGTGATCACACCCGTGGAGAGGCTGGAGCAGGGAGTTGGGGCTCCTAGCCGAGGGTGCCGCCTGGGGCAACGTGGCGCCTGCGCCCCAAGGGAGGAGTGGCTGGGGCTATGTCTCACCAAGCTGCCGGAAGAGCAGGGCCACGCTACAGCTGCTGACAGGGAGCGAGTCATTGATGGGTGTCTGGATGACCTGCCTGTCGCCCGCGCCAAGGGAGATGGTCCTCTGCAAAAGACAAACAACAGGGGCACTGGCTGTTAGGAGCTGTCCGAGCAATGGTGCCGTGCATGGGCATCTCCTTTCCCCCCTGCACAGGGCACGTCTCCCCACCCCAGCCCACAAGCAGCTGGGCTCCCCCTGCCCCATGATGGGCAGGACCAGGTCTGTGTGCCCCCAGCGTGGTCCCCACTGCAGGCTGCCAGACAGCAAGGAAGGGAGAAGGCAGCTGCATTTGGGTCAACTTGGTGACTACTGATGGGAGACACTCAGCAGTGCAGGAGATGGGCTTGCTGGGCCTGGGGGAGGTCCCAGGGCTGGGACAGGGCTGGGCTTGGACATGGGCCCAGAGGCATTCGTATGCAGTGCTTGGGGGCCAGGTCCTTGGGGTGCCCTGGTGAGACCCAGATGCACAGGCAGCTCCTCAGAGCTGGGGGCAGCTGGCGGGACTTTCCCTAGAGCAGGCTCTCACTGAGGAAAAGGGGGACCTCGTTTTCCAAGCCTGGAGGCCTGAACCCTGCATGGACTCAGCCAGCTCCTCGGTGGAACTCCCCTGCCCTCCCCCCACAGGTCATCGCAGTACATCTACAACCCCAAATGGTCCGGCCTGGCTGCTGCCCCACATTAGACGTCCCTCACAGCTCCTCTGGAGCCTGGAGCAGAGGGAGCAGCCTGGCCTGCCCTGCGAGAGGCCAGGGGACAGCCGGCGCGCCTTCAGAGGGCTGCCCAGAGCCATGCCAATGAGACCTCCCTCCAGCCACAGCCAACGTGTGGCCACATGCTTCACTCAGACTCTGCAGCAGGCCCAGCCAGAGGCCATGGTGCCAGACCTCTTCCCCTTGCTCCTTAGGGATGCGCTGGGTGGGGTGAGTGGGTGGCTGCAGGCAGCCCTGGAAGCCCTGAGCCACCTCACTCCCTGGGAGGAGCTGCTAGAGAAGGGCCAGACCCGGTGAAAGAAAAGAGGTGCATACCGCTCCTTCGTCCTCCACGTCAGGCTGAGATGGAGACAGACAGAGATAGCACAGTCAGTTAGAAACGCACAGTGTGGCAGCGCAGCCAAGCAGCAGGAAGAGAGAGACATGGACAGACAGACACACACAGCAGCACAGACAGGGGCCTGAGCCCTTGTGGGAGAAGGAGAGGAGAGGAGAGGAGAGGGACAGATGGACACAGCACATGGAGAAAGAGCCCTGCCAGCCACAGCAGGAGAAGGGGCAAACAGAGTGGGGATAGGCAATGGTGCTGTTGAGCTTGCTCCAGGGCGTGATCCCCGAGCCTGCGGCATGGGGGAACTGCTCCTGTCTGAACTCCTCCCGTGGCTCACGGGAGGACACGCTGGGGACCAAGGAGGAAGCTGGCACTCGCAGTGGCCTGCATGCCCACCTTGCAAGCAGCCTTCCTCCTTTCCTGCAAGATTGGAACCAGCCACCTGTGGCTACTGGCCCCCCACACCCTGCACATGTTTCTTGGTGGCTAGAGGAAACCCCAAGCTTGGTCTGGAGACGCCCCTGCCATGTACAACCTTGTCTTAGAGACACCTGCAGGGAGGCAAGGGTCTCATGGGGAGCCTGACAGTGCTAGAGCCCAGGGTGGGGATGGAGTCTGCTGCTTCTAGGGTACCGAGTGCCCTCAGCTCGAGGACCTGGGAGCAAAGGAGAGGCTCTGGGAGAACCAGTGGGGCCTGGGGGAAGCCAGTAAAAGCCACCCCCAGTGCTGGAGGGCTAGGCTATGTGCGCTCTAGGTCCAGGGCCAGCCCAGGAGAGCCTCAGGAAAGAGGCAGCCATGCGGTGCTGAGACAAGCAAGGTCACAGGTTGGACTAGGCCCCACTGGAGTGAAGTCCCAGGCCTAGAGTCACCAGCTCCAGCAACACAGCTGCACTCTCCCAACCCTCTCTGCCTCTGGGAAGCCTCTCCCGCTCTTGGCAGCCCTGCAGGCATGGGATGGGGGTTTGCAGAGTGAAGCGCAGGGAGGAGGTCTGTATGTTCCCACTCACGAGCCCCAGCAAGGCGACTGATGCCCAGCGAGGCGGCTGATCCTCACATCCCAGCCAAAGACACAGGGAGCTGGCTGCAGGTTCCCCTTACACCAAGCTAAGGAGGGGGCACCTGGTTCTTCCCAATACAAGCCTTGGCCCCCTGCGGCTGCTCTTATAGACAGCCCGTGACTGCCTGGCTCTAGCACAGCTCTGTGCATGACAGACGTGGCCGTGGGGGAGGCCCGTTGGCCACAGGCCTGCCCAGCCGCCCGGGCAGCTGTTTGCACAGTGGGTCTGTCTGCGCATGAGGCTGGCTCTGCTGACGGCCAGGCCATGCCACGCTGACAAGCTGCACCTCCTGCAATGGGAAGGGGGGCTGCCAGGCTCCACTGGACCTAGCAGTATGGAGGGCCTGATACTTGCACCCCCGCACTGCAGCTGACCCAAGGGAACAGGGGCAGTGCGAGACCCCCCTGCGGTTGTGCCCGTGAGCTGGTGAGAGGCAGCAAGGGGAAGGAGTGAGCAGGCACCCACCTGCGCCCCCCCAGTGATGGGGATGGTGCACGTCAAGAGGTTCCCGATGACATTCTCCAGCGACACACTCAGCCCGTCCACATAGATGGTGTAGATGAGGCCCAAGCTGTTCTGGAGGAGCAAAGCAGAGCACAGGACCATGTCAAGGCAGGGAGCTGAGACTCCACTCGAGTGTGGCAGGGGCAGCCGCTGGGCCGGAGCAGAGACCCAGAGAGGGGGAGGTCAAGAGGTCTGGTGTGTCCTGCTCAGCACCTGCAACTCCCAGCACCTGCCCCCCCTGGGCACTCAGGGATCAGAGCCTCTCTGCTGAAACTGGTCCGTGGTGCCAGCAATAAGCCGTGTGTGCTGCCTACTCCAGGATGCAAGAGGGCCTCCAACACCGGCAGTGGGACTGATGCCAAGCCCTGAAGAGGGCCAGGCTCCCAGTGATGCCACGACACCCTGGGGGGCTCACAGCTACGTATGTCTATCTGCACAGGTCAGCCATGGGCCGAGCCCAGCAGGTGCCTGCTCCAGGTCACTGGCAGGCAGTCAGGGCTGGACAAGGGGGCATAAAGGGGGTAGCTCTGCTGCTGTAGGGGAGCACCCGGGACACAGTGAGTGGCTGGCAGCTAGGACTCTCCATGAGGCAAATGCAAGGCCAGACCTCAACCAAGATTGGGCACAGGGACCCCAGCACTAGCACTGGTGTGCTTCAAGTGGGCAAGGGGGTTTCTTCATGGGGGCTACACTGCCTGCTGGGTGACAGGGAGCCCCATATCTATGCCAGGCACCGGGCTGCAACTTGCGGCTGAGAGCCGACCGGGCTGCAGGGACCAGGCTGGCTCCGGGGTCTCCCCTGGGGCACCTGCCCCAGCCTGCAGAGCTGCTGACAAGCTGCTGCCCCATGCAGGGTTCTGCAAGCCTGCCAGGAGCTGAGCTTTTTACAGCTGTGTAATGGGACAGGTGGGGAGCATATAAAGATGGATGAGATAAAGACTCCAGGAACAGGCTGTGCCGAGAGGCAGGTAATGGCCACAGGTGCCCAGCCCTGCGTGGTCCCTGCCTGGCAGCTCTGCTGTGTGCAGGGCCCCGTGCAGCCTTGTAGGCGGAAGCTAGGAACATGCTGGAGAGAGCATGCCAGGGATAGCTGTCGCCTCCTGGAGATGCCAGGCCCTGCCCTGCCCCTTACCCGGAAGACTTCGGTGTGGTCCAGTCGCGATACCAGCACCAAGCTCTTTGGAGCAAAAAGCTGCACGGGCTGGACAGGCAACGACGAGTCCATTTCCTCCTCCTCCTCTTCTTCCTCGCTGTTCTGCTTGTGGCTCTGAGGCTGGGGAGACATGTGGGTCAGGCGCCGGCTCCCCTGGCTGTGCTAGGCACCCGGGACAGCGCCGGACCTCATCCGACGGGTCCTGCTCACCCTTCGTTACCTGGATGCTCTCGACAGCCTCCCAGAAGGTGAAGCAGGCGCAGTAGTGCCTCTCCGAGTTGATGTCGGTCAGCACGGCCACGAAGAAGTTGGGTGGGTTCCGCTCGGTGAAGAGCTGCCAGCCGCTCGGTTGGCAAAACTGTGGACAGGAGGGGAGAGCTGGGGTCAGAAGGGGTCAGCGGAGGGGAGCCGAAGCAGTTGCAGGTTGAGCCACCCCCTCCCTTATTACCCAGCCCTCCCAGGGACCAGTCCCTCATGCACCAGGAGCCAAGGCAGCAGCCAGGAGCCGGCAAGGAAGTGCCCAGCTCAGCGGTGGGTACGGCAGTGCCCAGCCCCGTGACCAGGCTGGGTAGATAGAAGCCGTGACCGGCGTGCCCTGCTACACAGAGAAAACACCCAGTGCACAAGCGTCACCTCAGAGGGACAGAGCTCAGGGGCCCAGAGTGGTACAGCTCTCTCAGGAGGATGCCAGGAAGAGGCCAAGGCTCTCTCTCAGGGAGCTGCAGGTCCTAGAGTGGGCACAGCACGCGGCCCTGTGAGCTCAGAGCCTTGGCAGCAGCAGCCCCACGTCCAGGAGGTGGAGCTGCTGCCGCACGCGCCGAGGCCGGGCTGAAGCTGAGCCAGTCTGTGGGAGGAGGAGTGATGGCCGAGGGCTTTCCTGCTCTCTGTTCCAATCTGCTGAGCCCTGTCCCCAGCTACCGCTGTGGCGCCCTACCAATACTCTGGCAGCCCCAGGCTCTGTGCTTGACTGGCCCCAAAGTCATGACTGCCCCCGAGACGGAGGCTGGGCGATGGCAGAGGCTGAGAGAAGCCGACTCAACAGGGGCCTGAAGAGGCAAGGCAACATGCCGGCTCCCTGAAGCTGCTGGACTGTTGCAGAGATCCCATCTGAAGCTCCCTGCAGGCCACGGCCCTGCCTCTCTGCCCCTCCGTAGCGGGAAGGTGCCCATCGCTAACCGCAGCAGGGCCCTGCTCTCCTGATGAGCACCAGGTCTTGGGGTAATGAGCTGCGGTGACAACCCTGCTGAGCCATGTACCAGGGGCAGCAAGGCAATCCTTCCTCCTGCCCTGCACCCACAACTCAAGCCAGCTCTTGCTTAGCTGGCTGTGGGGAGGTGCAAGCAGTTCCCCAGCCCAGGGGCAGAGAGCTCCCATTCCTCACTGAGCTCAGCTCTGAAATCAGGACACAGTTTACAGTGTGGCGCAAACATCTCCTGGGCCCCATGCCTGTGTTGCAGGCAGGGCCAATCCAGCCAGCCAGACACCATCTGCATCACCCAGACCAGGTCCAAGCGCTACCTCCCACCTCAGGGTCCCTAGGTCCTGAAGAGCAGTGCTGGGCCCCGAGTCCCTCCCCAGCTCCATGCCAAGGCAGAGCGAGGTGTGTGCTGCGGCCAGCCCTGGCACCCGGAGCAGAGCGCAGTGGCCTCAGGGACTCAGTCTGAGACCAGCTGTTCCCTCCCGGGGGTGCCCTGAACCGTGGGAAACTCAGGAGGACGCACCCATCCACCTGCTGCCCCGCAGGCCAAGCTCTGTGCTCTCTGCTTCTGTGCCAAGCAGTCTCTGGCCTCTCCCAGAGGCAAGCGGTGCTACAGACAATGGCAGACAATTGCCCTGCCATGTGCAAACTTTGTTAAACAATAGCGCAACGAGGAGCCGTGTACACAAATCCACACCGCACGGGGTTCGAGTCATGCTGAAGCCAGGGCCAGCTGCAGCCTGGTTATACAACTGGGTTCCTGCTGCAGAAGTGCAGGCTTAAGGCATGGCTGGGGCCCAGGTTGGCAGAATTTGGGTGCTGAGTCCAAGCACCCTGCCAGCAGTTTGATTGGGGGAAGGCACTGGTTCCCAAATAGGCAGCTCCACATGAGCCAGCGCAGAGTGGTGCCGTGGTCCCTGGCGCTGCTGTCCTGTGTGGCCTGGGAAGAGCCACTCCTGCACATGGCCAGGCGGGTTGACCTGAGGCACCGCATGAAGCCTTGGAATGGGTTTCTCTGCTTCCCAGCCCCCTGCTGCTGCTTCCCCATGGTGTGTACTGGGGCCGGAGACGCCCGGGAAGCTGCAGCCGTCCCCTGCTCCCAACAGGGTTGGAATGGGGTTGTTTAAATTCCGTGGATTTTTGGCTGGGGAACAGCGCAGCGTCACAGGGCTTGGCATGAGTCCTCGGCACCCCCCGCAATAAGGAGGACACACAAGTGTCAGCCAGAGAGTTCCTTCAGTGCCCAAACAATTCCTCCGCCTACCCACAGCGGGCAGGGCAACGGAGGGATAGCCCCCAGGGCTGGGCCTGAGTCCGATGAGCATGGTCCATGTGCTGAGAGCACAGCGGGGCAAAGGCTACCATGGCACAGGGAGCCTGAGTGGTTCGGCCAATGCCAGCTTCCCCGCACCCACCCTCACAGGACTGACCACAGCCTGACACCCCTTGCCAGGGTGGTCTCCCAGGGATGGAGCTGCCTTTGCTCCCAGGAGGAACCAAGTGATGGCAAAGCCTGGCTCTGAGGTCCCTAACAAAGGGGGAAGGTTGCAGCTGGGTCCCCACTGCACAACAGCACCTGCTCCCCCAAAGCACCTGCCAGCCTCCTCCTTGGAGAAAAGCCTCCCTGAAAACACTGAGCATGCACAGCATGGGCTGGTCACCGAGTCCCTGGTCCCTCAGCCTAAGCCCTGAGCTGCTGCGCCAGGGGAGCTGAGAAACCAGCTCCTGAGGTCACAGGCAAGGGAAGCAACAGCTGGCTTTGGGGAAGGGGCCGGCCGGACACCAAGGAGCTGGCTGCGAGTCTCAGGGGTGAGCAAGATGCTTGACTCCTGCAGACACGAGGCTGGAGCAGTGGGGAATCCAGTCCCTTCCTCAGACCGGCTGCGACAGGCCAACTGTGCTCGGGCAGCAGGTGTCGCTGCGGGAGACTGGAGGAAAGGGACCAAGCACGCAGCAGCACTACACACCATGGCTGTGCCGAGGGGCAGGCATGGCACACCCTCCTCACACTTTCTCAGGGCTGGCAGCGTCCTGCCACCACAAGGGGTGTTAAACATGTACTCCAGAGAGCCCAGGCAGAGGCTGTGCCCCCGCTGCAGGGGAAGGCAAATCCCCCCCCAGTCTGCACCAGTCTGAGCAGGGGGGAAATCCCTTCCTGCCCCAGTGCCGCATCAGTCTGAGCCTAAGTGGGATGTGGGGCAAGACCCTCTAGCCGGGGAGCTGGGGCGTGCTGTTTGGTGGGTGCAGCCTGGCGACTTTACAGGCACAGGGAACTGCCTAGAGCAGGCCCACGTGCCCAGGGGGTGGGGTAGAGACCCCCAACTCCCACAGCAGCGAGTACAAACACTGACGGAAGAGCCGGCACCGCCAGCCCAGCTCTCCAGAGGGACCGGGTGCTGCAAAAGGCTGTGACAATGGAAGGCCCCAGAAGACTGCAGCCAGCCAGGGCTATTTATACAGGCATGTGGCAGGCTGGCAGCGAAAGCTGTGGAAAGCAGCCACCCTGCACTCAGTGCTGGGCGTAGCCTGTGCTGGCTGCGAGGGCCAGAACATGCTGCACCACTCGCAATCCCAGAGCCCATCCCTGCGGAAGGGGAGAGGCTGCTGTTTGCCCTGCTCTAGCCCCGGCGAGGCTGGCCCACAGGCTCTGAGCCAAAGGTCCCGCTGACATGCCAGGAATGGGGACAGGTCCCTGCAGCTCCACACGCAGAGAACCGTGACCGGCTCTGCTCACGTGCCCACGGTGTCCCAGCCCTGCCCGATGGTGCACTCACCAGCTCGATGCCCTGTGGGAAGGGGTTATCTTCCCAGTCCTTCTCCGGGAAGCGCTGCAGAATCTGTCCCTGGCCATCCCCGCTCCCTGCGGGAAGAGGAAGGAGCGTGTTAGAAGGCAGGCAGCCAGCACCCCATCCAGCTGTCAGCGCAGCCGGCTGCCAAGGCCGCCAGCGACTACGAGGAAACCCAGAGCAGTGCGCAGACATGGAGCAGGTGGATAACCCGGTGCACTTATGCCCGGTGCTGGGCCTGGGGTGGGAGGTTTTAATGTACATGCACAGACCCACACGTGTGCACCATCCAGCTAGGGGTCAGTCTGCACTGTGCCACGTATGTCCTGGGCTATGGATCCCCGTCTTCCCTGCTACTGTTACTACCATGCGGTGCTTTGCAGTTGGGCCCTTCGCAGTGTCTACAGTTTGTGCCGTGCCCGTGGGCTGTGTCTGACCGAGGGAACGCGCCCACCTCGCTGTGCCCAACTCTCCCAAACTAGCGCGTGACTCTTGTACTCAGGCTGGAAACTGCACGAGAGAACATATGAAGGACACCCGTGCTTTGCTCTGTGGGGGCTCATCACACTTCCATCACTCCCCGAGAAAAGCCAAATGGATCAAAAAAAGCACCCAGGTTCTAGCATACGAGGCCCGGCGGCGGGTATTACAGCTCCCATGATGGACCTCAGCTCTGCCACAGATGCAGTCTTGCCATGGGCAAGAGTCCGAGCCCCTGCGTCCATCTGCCCAGTCTGTGAAATGGAAGAATACTGCCCTCTCTTATGGGGGAAGCCACAGATGTGAGGGCTGGTGCAGCCCTTTCTTAGGGCACAGGCTTTGGAAATGTCAGAGTCCTTGAGCTGCGGGACTGTGGAAGCCACCTCTAATCCAACCCCTGCCTGAGGCAGGATCAGCCCCATCCAAAGCAGCTCAAACAAACCCAGTGTCTGAGCTTGGAGCCGCACAATAGTCGCCCCTGACAGCCCTGTGTATCGCCCCTCCCCCTGGGGTACAGGGGGGCCACAGCTGCCAACATCCTGCTGTTGCCAAGGGGGGTCATGGGCGCTGCAGAGCCCAGGCCAAGGCCATGCCCCTGCTGCAGACCAAGGCAAAACCCCCCAGTGCGACCAGTCTGAGCAGCGGGGAAATCCCTTCCTGCCCTAGTGCAGCGTGGAGCTGAGCCTGTGCGTGGGGGCAAGACCCTCCAGCCAGGACCCTGCAGAGTTTAGTCAGTGATGCATAACTGCAGGGAGGAATCAGAAGGGCTTTAACTCAAGGCAAGAAGGAGCTAGATGTTTACATGAGGGATTTTGCGTGGCTGCCTGTAACTGCAGGGGCTCAGCCTTGCCAGCCTGAGGAAGCCCTACTGCAGGTCTGACACCTCCAGCCGCAAAGAGACTCTGCTGCCCCTAACCCAAAGGGGAGCAGGATACACACCCCTTATGTGACCTGGATGCTTTCAGCAGCCTGAGCTCCCTCCTGAGGATGCGCCAGGGTCCGGCTGGCTAACGCCTCCCGGCTCTGCACGGAGGAATGTGCCCCTTGTTCAGCCTTCAGCTCACAAAGCCTCCCCCACTCCAGCACCCCAGGCACACGGCGTCCCGTCAAAACAGTCTGGTGCTGGCAGCCCTTGCCTTTGCAAACACAAGCAAAGCTGGTTGGGCTCCCTCCATCTCTACCGGCCTGGGGCTGGCTGACTTTGGCCTGGCTGGGGGGCCGGGCAGTGGGAGGAACCCTGCCCCACAACATGTGCACCGCGGCAGGCCTATTCTGGGCATCCAGACCTGTTCCTACCACGCCACTGACCACCGGCTGCCCACAGCTGAATTTAGGAGCTCAGAAAAGCAGGAGATAGTCCACTTATAGCCTTCCAGGACCAAAAAGGAAAGGTCAGGGCTGAGCAAGAGAGAAAATAGCACCTGGCTTCATGTGGGC